GAAACCCTGTACAGGGTCGCTATGAGTTGGAATCGACTCCACGGCAAACAACAACAACAACAAGTTCCTAGAGAACATCATGGTTGATAAAGTAGAAAGTTATTGAAAAATCAGAAGACCTCCTAGGAAATAGATTGGCACAATGGCAGCAAAAATGGGCTAAAATGTAACAATTGTGAGAATGGTGACGCACCGGGCAGTGTTGTCTTCTATTGTACATAGGGTTGCTATGTGTTGGAACCAACTCATCAGCACCTAACAACAAGAAGTAGCTATTTTGTTCTGTATAATAGCTAATGGAATCTTGTGCCATTCCTGGATATAAATATTTGCATAAGGTCAACAAACATTTTAGTCCATTGTAAGGGAAAGATTCATAGCATTATCTTCTGAAATGAGAGTTTGTCCTTCATAAAAGATATACAGGCATTTTGTATCCCATCTAAGAAGTTTCCAGAATAGACCTCATTGCAGGAGCTCTTCATTGTGCCTGAATGGAGCGAACCATCATGGGCCTGCAACTTTGGCCAGGATGTGTTGTGTGCATCCTGAGGCTGAGAGCCTGTCTAGAGGTAGGCTCACATTATGCCCTGTACTCTGCATGGGGCTGCTCCTTCCATGCATGGTCCAGGTAGCTATTGTGGGAAATTGATGGAAGCATTCCAGTTATTTTATCACCTACTTCAATCCATACATAATGTCTCTTCATGCACTTATGGCCTTTAGTTCAAATGAGATTGTTAGCATTAAACAGTCTTAAAGCTGTACCTTTTTTATGAGATATTCATCACCATTCCACATGGTGCATAGCCTCACCAAGTTGCTAAATATCAAATAAAGTATTAGAAGCGCCTTCAGTTATAATATAGGGAGCAAAGAGGAGCTTTGTTTATTTTAAGCTTCAGGGTTCTAGAAGCAGTGACCATGGTTCAATCTTTATTTTGATCCCTGAGAAGTTTTATTGTCACATTGTTTATTCTGAAAAGTTTTACTTCAAAACTGTGAGTAGGATTTTCATAGAACACAACTCAATATTTTGATTAGACTTCTTTGGTTTGTACAGGTTCACACATTGGATTCCCCCAAGTACCTAAAGTTCTTTCTGATACTCAGTTTTTCTGAAGGCTAAGTCTGTGAGAGAACAGGTAAGATTTCTGATTCATACCTACCTGGCTTGCTTGTTTTTGCAGGCATCAGATAATGAAGATTTTTCCAGAACCTTGAGTTATAGGAAAGAGACTTACCAGCTTTCCACTTTAGCACTCGATGAGATTTCAAAAGCTCAAGTGATTGGGGCAAGAACATGAAGTCACTAATAGGTGTAAACTCAATTAAGATTATTTTAATTTTTCTTTCCACTAGAGCTTCATGGAGTCCACTTTCAAGTTCAAACCTGACTTCATGAGACATGTAATTTTCACTTAGGACAATGATTAGTCTTCGACTCTTCTCTATCAGTGAATGGACTTCATCAACAACAGCTAAAAATTCAAATTGAAATATTAATTTAAGAGAATTGAAAGGTGTGTATTAGATGAAAATCATTTTGCCCAATCTTATTTTATATTATTTACCTCAATTGTACTATTACATCTCTTTAAGACAAATTATTCATTTTCAATTTTAAATGCTTTTTAAAAAGAGTTAATCATCTAGATAACAATAATTATTAAAACTCTGGTAACGTAATGGTTACGAATCAGGCTATGAACCACAAGGTCAGCACTTTGAAACTACCAGCTGTTCTGCAGGAGAAAGATGAGGCATTCTGCTCCCATAAATATTTTCAGCCTCGGAAACCCTGTTCAGGGTTGCTATGGGTCAGAACCGACTCCACGGCACTTAACAACAACAATAACAACAAGCATGTACTTGGTGTAACATTCTCTTCTAAATACTTTATATGAACTCAGTGAGTCACCACAGTAGACCCATGAAGAAAGTGTTCTTGTCATTTCCACTTTACAGGTGAAGAAGTCAAATTGTAGAGCGGTCAGCTTGCCCAGAGGCACACTGCTAGTAAGTAGCACAACCAGAATCAGAACTCCAGTAGTTTTGTTCCATGCACAGTTCCATTATGCTACCCTGCCTCTTTGCATGCATGGAGGAACATTCTTAAGTAAGAATGTAAAGACCCAAAACTAAAGTGAAAAATGGACAATACTCTAGACCATGAACCAGCATTTTTTTTTTTTTTTTTTTTTTTTTTGCTTCTGTAAAGAGCCAGATAACAAATATTTTAGGATTTACAGACCAAGTTTCTTTGTCACACTATTCAAATCTGTTGCTGTAGCATGAAAACAGTCACAGACAACATGCAACAAGTGTGGCTGTGTTCTAAAAAAGGTAGCAGACCAAATTTGGCCTCTTGATGTTAATTTGCCAAACTCTACTCTAGATCTCTAATACTTCTCAAATAAAGGAGTTCAATTGCAAATAATCATATTGAATATACAACTAAACAAGCTTTGTTTTTATTTAAGAAGTCACAATAAAACATTTTTTTACAGAATGATCTTAGTGTCTTTTAATAAATTCCTTATAAAGTATAAGATTTACTCAGATTTGCAGTTCTCATACTGTAGCATTATTTTCCAATGTATGTTTCTAAAAAAATTAAGCAGATGACAGTGTGCAGCCATATGGTTTGCTCTATAAATATCTCCTCAATAACAACAGGAGGAATTCACACAACAAGAAAATTATATGATACAGAAAATTGAATGAAGGGCTAAAATATTAAACGTGAAGTGTTCATAAACACTAGTTAAGTATCTGTACCAACTAAGTCTCATATGAAGTTTAAACATGCTCAGAAGTAGAAAGTACAATTAATTACCAATCATCCAACTTAAAATAAAAAAGAGAAGTAAGAGGAAGTCTATGTTCAAAATGACAAATAGAAAATAAATGGGGAATATACAAATTATATGAGGTCAAGAAAAAATGCATCCTAAGTGACAATATGTCTTCTTAGAAACAACTGACATAAAAATAGTAGTGTAGTATCTATGTGACTACTGGTTTGGCACTGTAGAATAAGCATTGGACAATTAACTGCAAGGTTGGTGGTTCAAACACAAACCCACCAGCTGCTCCTGGGAAGTACAATACAGGATCGATTTTGAGTCAAAACTGACTCGATGATACGTAACAGCAACAACATATATGTGATAATTTATCATATTAAGTTTTTTGAATTTATGATTATTAAACAGTAGTATATTTTCCTTTCCTCATTAGTAACATTTTCCCATTCTAACTTGTAGTAAAGAAGGAAAAATTTCATGACTATATTTTCAGTGCCCAGCTCAGAACTTAGAACGTGGATTGTTGTTGTTGTTAGGTGCCATTGAATTGGTACTGACCCATAGCGACTTTATGCACAGCAGAACGAAACACTGCCTGATCCTGGGCCAAGCTCACTACTGTTGCCATGCTTGAGTCCATCGATGCTGCCATTGGGCCAATCCATCTCGTTGGGAGGCTTCCTCTTTTTCTCTGACCTCCACCTTACCAAATATGATATCCTTCTACAGTGACTGGTCCCTCCTGACAGTATGTCCAAAATATGACAGTCGAAGTTTGGCCATCTTGGCCTCCAAGGAGAATTCTGGCTGCACTTCTGCCAAAACGGATCTAGTGGTTCTTTTGGCAGCCTATGGCACTTTAAATATTCTCCTCCAACACCATAACTCAAAACCATCAATTCTTCTATGGTCTTCCTTATTCACTGCATGCATATGAAGTTATTGAAAATACCATGGCTTGGGTCAGGTGCACCTTAGTCCTCAAACTGACATCTTTGCCCTTCAACACTTTAAAAAGGTCTTGTGCAGCAGATTTGCCTAATGCAATATGTCATTTGATTTTTTGACTGCTGCCTCCGTGAGTGTTGATAGTTGAATCAAGAAGAATGACGTCTTCAGCAACTTCAATCTTTTCTCCGTTGATTAGACTGTTGTTTATTGGTCCAGTGGTGAGGATTTTTGTTTTCTTTACATTGAGATGTAATGTTTGATCTTCATCAGTAAATGTTAAGTCCTCTTCACTTTCAGCAAGCAAGGTCGTATCATCTGCATATCGCAGGTTGTTAATAAGTCTTCCTCCAATACTGATGCCACATTTTTCTTCATATAAACCAGTTTCTTGGATTATTTGCTCAGCATACAGGTTGAATAAGTATGGTGAGAGAATAGAACCTTATCACACACTTTTTTTCATTTTAAAACATTCACTGTTCCCATGTTCTGTTTGAACAACTGCTTCTTGGTCCAGGTACAGATTCCTTATGAGCACAATTAAGTGTCCCAGAATACTCATACTTCGCAATGTTGTCCATAGCTTGTCATGATCCACACAATCAAAAGCCTTTGCGTTATCTTTGTGATATTCTCTGCTTTCAGCCAAGACCCATCGGACACCAGCAATGATATCCCTCGTTCCACGGCCTCTTCTGAATCCAGCTAGAACCTCTGGAAGTTCTCTGTCAATGTATGATTGTAGCCATTTCTGTATTACCTTTAGCAAAACTTTACTTGCATGGGATATCAAAGAGATTGTCCGATGAAATTTCCACATTCCATTGGGTCATGTCTCTTTGAATTGTCACAAATGTGGATCTCTTACAATCAGTCGGCCAGATAATTGTCTTCCAAATTTCTTGTCAGGGAAGAGTGATTGCCTTCTGTGCTGCCTCTCTTTCTCGAAAGATTTCCATTTTTATTCCATCAATTCCTAGTGCCTTGTTTTTTGCCAATTCCTTCAATGCTCCTTGGACTTCCTCCTTCAGTATCACTGGCTCTTGATCATAATGCTACCTCTTGAAATGGTTCAACATTAACCATTTCCTTTTGGTACAGTGACTCTGTGCATTCTTTCCATCTTCTCTTGATGCTTTCTGCATAATTCAACAATTTGCCCAGAGAATCTTTCAATAACAAAAGTTGAGGCTTGAATTTTTTCTTTAGTTTCCCAGCTTGAGAAATGCTGAGCATGTTCTTCCTTTTTGGTTTTCTGATTCCAGATCTTTACACATTTTGTTGTAATCTTTCGCTTTATCTTCTCGAGCTGATCTTTGAAATTTTCTGTTCAGCTCTTGGACCTCCTCATTTCTCTCATTTGCTTTAGCATCTGTATGCTGGAGAGCAAGTTTCAGTGTCTCTTCTGACATCCAATTTGACCTTTTCCTTTTTTCTTGTCTTCTCAATGACTTTTTGCTTTCTTCATGTATGATGTTCTTGATGTCATCCCACAACTCTTCTGGTCTTCGGTCTTTTGTGTTTAATGTATCAAATCTGTTCTTCAGATGATCTCTAAATTCACATGGGATATATTCAAGGTCATATTTTGGCTCTCGTGGACTTGTTTTCATTTTCTTCAGCTTCAGTTTGAATTTGCATATGAGTAATTGATGGTCTGTTCCACAGTCTGCCCATGGCCTTGTTTTCACTGATGATATGGAGCTTTTCCACCATTTCTTTCCACAAATGTAGTCAATTTGATTTCTATGTCTCTCATGCTGTCTAAAGAAGGTATTTGAAATGAACACATCATTGATTTTGTAGATTTCTATCATGCATTTTCCAGCATCATTTCTATCACTAGGGCCATATTTTCCAACTACTGATCCTTCCTCTTTGCTCCCAACCTTTGCATTCCAATCACCAGTAATGATCAATACATCTTGATTGCATGTTTGATCAATTGAGAGAAGTTGGTAGAATTTTTCTGTTTCATCCTCACTGGTTTCAGTGGTTGGTGCATAAATTTGAATAATAGTAGTATTAACTAGGCTTCCCTGTAGGCACCTGGCTATTATATCCTATCACAGACAGCGTTATACCTCATGACTGATCTAGATATGTTCTTTTTGACAATGAATGCAACACCATTCCTCTTCAATTTGCCATTCCCAGCATAGTAAACCATGTGGCTGTCAAATTCAATATGGTCAATACCAATCCATTTCAGGTCACTAATGCCTAAGATATCAATGTTTATGCATTCCATTTCATTTTTGACAACTTCCAGTTTTCCCAGATTCACACTTTGTACACTCCATGTTCCGATTTTCAATGGATGTTTACAGCTGTTTCTCTTCATTTTGAGTTGTGCCCCATTAGCAAATGAAGGTCCTGTGGGCTTTCCTTCCAAGGGCTTTACTCCATTTCCATCATCATGGTTAACACTACTTTGAGGAGGCAGCTCTTCCGCAGTCACATTTTGAGTGCCTTCCAACCTGAGGGGCTCATTTTCCGTCACTATATCTGACAGTGTTTCTCTGCTATTCAAAAGGTTTTCAGTGACTAAATATTTGGAAGTAGTTTGTCACTCTTTCTTCCTAGTCTGTCTTTGTCTGGAAGCTCATCTGAAACCTGTCCACCATGGGTGACCCTGCTGATATTTAAAATACCTGTGGCATAGCTTTTAGAATCACAGTAACTCACAAGCCACCAAAGTATGACAAACTGGTAGACAAGTGGATGGCACTCAGTAAATGTTGGATGGTTAAATGATGTTAAAATGGTTAGTGATTAAGGCATTTCTATTTTTAATAATGTCAAGATCAGAAATAATTTGACACCAGATTTCAAATACTTGCTCTGGGAAATTTCAATAAAATACAGAAAAAACTTTTTGATTCTAATAGTAATTCACTTCAACATATGTGCTATGGTTATTATTCATATATGTATTAAAAATTTAGAATTTGTAACTAAACTCTGATAGAAATCACCATTTTTCTTATACTTATCCAGTTCTCCTATTTCCTCTTTTAATTTTATCAGTGGTGTCTACATAATAAAGAACAAAGGTTTTCTGGAAAGAATTAACCTGTATCCAAAAAAGCATGTATTAAATTAAGCACTGGTGGTTCTGTTCTACAAAATATTGCCAAGAAAGTATCCTTACTGACTGTGAGGTATTTCTATATAAATGTCTTATGATCATGCCAAAATAGACCTGATTCTGGAAATAGGGCATACACAGTCCTTTATCACAGTTTCAGAATGAATGAACAAGGTTCAAGAGAAGAGATTATTGGAAGGGAGCCACAGTCAGTAGTTTGTTTTCTCACTAATGATTATACTGGTTCAGGTTATATTTCTGGTTTATAAGACTTCATAAATTTGTTTGTTGTTGTTGTTGTCAGTTCTGACTCATAGTGACCCTGTATAGGGTTTCTGAAAATGTATGTCTTTGTGGGAGCAGACAGGCTCATCTTTTTCCCACAGAGTAACTGGTGGGCTCAAATCAATGACCTTGTGGCTCACTGTCCAGTGCTTATCCTACAAAGCCACCACATTCCCAGGAAAAACAGGGAGCCAATTTTAAGTTTAGCCTAATCATCTTTTAAAAAGACAAAATTGCCAATTGTTTTCTATCTGGAATTTCCTTTCTTACCTCCTCCAGGCATTACATCCCTTTCAAAGATGCATAATTTATACCCAAAATGTTTCTCCAACACCCTGGGTAAAATCTCCACGGCAAAGGTGTGCTCCTCACAATTTTCTGTTTGACATTCTTTGAGGTAAGACACAAAGGCATCATATGTTTTTCCATCTAGAAGATAAGTTTTGCTCTTTTAATTAGTGTATAAATATATTTAAGTACAAATTTTAGTGAAAATCATGCTCAATGGGCCTAGAATTCTTGAAAACAAGAAACCTAAAACATCATCTTAAAACCTATATATGCCAACCAAGCAACCATTTAACAAATAAAGGTCAAGTTCCTACTTGTATTTCTCTACAGTTCTTCACTATAAATAACTGGAAAGATACACATGAGGCAGATCAGGCTACTGAGGGAACTTAGAACACAATAGAAGGCCAAGGACCCCAAATGTGTCTTTGTTCCAGGATTGGCAAGGAAATCTCACCTTGACTTTCATGGATAATTTAACTCTACCACTATCTCTATTTTTATTTTATCCTCACAAAGACCCGTGGGCAAGTGAAAATAGAAATAAACCTGAAAGTTTCCATTGGAGAGAGGAAGGAACACTAGGGGCTGTTGAAACAACATGCTGTAGAAACAAATGCTATGAAGTCTGCAAATATATAATCTAGATGCCGACAGGAAAACTTCTGATCCATTAAGAAGGTTTTCACTAATGATAATGTCTCTGCTATTTAATTAATGAAGTGGAGCTGTATTTAGAGAACTTACAGGACAATTTCAGGAGGAACAGCAAATATTATTTTTCTAACTAGGTAACTAAAAGGTACACATTTCTGTCTTCCAGCATCATCTAATACATTTGAGTTGACAAAAGCAGACAAATGCAACAACTTGAGAAAGTTTGATAAACAACACATCAGCAGAAGCAAAATAGTACAATGGAAAACAATACCACCACCAACAGCAAAAAATTAAACAAGCAAACAAAAACCTTGTCAGAGAACAAGGAGTTCTCCCGTGGACATACAACCTGAAAAAAGAAAAAATTCAGTCAGGTCTTAAATAATACAATTGACATCAATTGGAATTGCTAGAGGAAGAAAGGCTTCTAAGAGGCTTTCAGACCCTGTATAGGATTGAACCGCTGACCTTGTGGTTTGCAGTCCAGTGCTTATCCTACAGCACCACGACAGGACTTACTTGTATAGTTACTGAAATGCAAATTAAAACTACATTGAAATAACCATTTTTTTTTTACCTACCAGGCTGTCAAAAATTCAAAAGTTGTATAAAACATTTTATGGGCAAGGCTTTGGGAGGAAAAAAACCACCTTTTGTCCACTGAAGGATAAGCACTGGGCTGGTAACTGCAAGGTTGGTGGTTCAACCCCACCAGCCACTTCTAGGAAACTCTACATAGGGTCACTAAGAGTTGGAACAGACTTGACACACTTAACAATGACAACATTCACTGAAACATTAGTACAACCTCTATGGAGACCAAAGTGGCAATATCTTACTTAATAACAGATTTATCGTCCCTCTGTAGTTTTAGAAATTCCAGTTTGTGAAATGTTTCTTTCAGATATACTTTACACATATGAAAAAATAAGCACACAAAGCTATGTACTGTAGCATTTCTAGAACAACAGAAGATTAGAAACAGCCTAAATGCCCATGAAAATTAGACAAAATAAGCAAAGATACATCCTTATTGTGCAATCTTTAACAATGACGAGCTTCTTTATAAACTAATATTAAAAAGGTATCCATGGTACAAATCATACTTTAAGAACATAGCTCAAAAGAGTGCACAGTATGTCAAGACATTGTGTCTTGTTTTATTTTAAAAAGGACAGTGGAATAAGAGTCCATATTTATATTAGTTTGGGTAGGTTATCTAAATAGAAATATCAGTAAATAAAAGGTGACAGATCTAGAATATAGAAACCAGATCATTTATTTAACTTCTTATTCAGAGGTTTTTGCAGGTACATCAAACAGACTTGTTTGCTGTTTGATATACCTGGGTCAAAATAATATATCATAATACAATTCAATTCAATACACAAGTCCTTTACTGAATGTCTATGGGGTACCTAGAGGGTTTACATACAAGGGTATCTTCTGTACAGTAATGAGGCTCAAGCATGTTACAGGGCATTTAGGAAGACACAGCATACATATATGAATCAGAGAACAATTGTTAGCAACATATAAATGCAAGAAAAGCAACAGTCATAATAGATGATACATGTAGATCAGTTTTACCCAAAGAAAACACCTCTCACATAAAGTCAACAACAATATAATCAAATAAGATGAAGATCAATGTCTCCTTATTTGGCTTTTAAATGAAAGCATAGATAAGAAACCCCACAGCAGGACATCTATTACCTGTTAATGTTTCATCTCTTCCAATTAAGCGTCTATACAATAAAGCCAAGTCCACTCTATAAATGGCGCACACTATCAGTATGCACACAACTGCCACTAGGAGCAAAATGGCTACTATCATTCCTCTGGTGGAAATGTCAGTGTCCTCTAGAAAAGACAAAAGAATGAGATTATTATTTACCATGTTATTTTACCAGTGTCTTCCATTGTCACTTTGTCCTTTGTTACAAGAATTTACACATTCCACTGCAATTCTTCACATTCCTAAGTGGTGAACTGCAAACATTTCAATGCATTCTATCCTAATTCTAAAGACCCCTGGTGGCACAGTGGTAAAGCGCTTGTCACTAAAAAGGCAGTAGTTCAAACCCACCAACTGCTCCACATGAAAAAGATGAGGCCGTCTACTTCCAAAAAGATTTACAGTCTTGGGAACCCTCTGGGGCCTTTCTACTCTGTTCTCTCATAATTTGTAATCAACTCCAGGCAACAGGACTTTAAAAAAAAACAAAAGAAAAACAACCCTACTTGTGCAAATTAATCTTTGGGATGATAAAATATTCAGGAGAAAGACAAAAGGACTCAGAGATAAATCTCCATAGAATCATACATGTTCTTAAGACAGACAACTCTGGACTGCTTGTCTGGGTTCCCAGCCTGGTTCCACCACTTACTGTGACTCCTAGGGTAAGTCACTATGTGTTTAAACCTCAGCTCTTCATCTGTGAAATGAAGATAATAATAGTTCATTTTTCCTTGTAGGTTGGTATTTTGGGGTATATTACTGACATAGTTCACATATGGTAGTTAACAAAGTATTGGGCACATAGCTGTAAGAATTTAGCATGTTGTTGTTGTTTCTAACCTTTGGGTAGAAAGTACTTTTTTCCTAGAGTGATTTCATGTTAATGGACAATATGGAAAAATAATATAGGGCAGTAGTAATAGTTAGGTTTTTGTGTCAAGTTGACTAAGTCAGGATGCCCATAGTTTAGCTGTTGAGATTGGCTTATCCCCATGATGATGAGACCTAATACAGGCATAGTTACCTCCATGATGATTGGCTAACAGCAGCCAATCAGTTCAAGGGATGCTTCCCTGGAGGTATGGCCTACTCCTAATACAATGGACATATGGGAACAATTCTCTGATTCTCTCATTTCCACTGGGGCCTTTGTTGTTGTTGTTAAGTGGCATGAAGTGGGTTCTGACTCATAGTGGCCCTATATAGGGTTTCCAAGGAGTGGCTGGTGAGTTTGAACTGCCAACCTGTGTTTCAACCTGACCTTTGCGGTCCAGTGCTTATACTACAGCACACTTCAGGAGCTCTGGTAGTGTAATGGTTACAAATCGGGCTGCAAACCGCAAGGTCAGCAGTTCAAAACTACCAGCTGCTTTGCGGGAGAAAGATGAGGCTTTCTGCTCCCATAAAGATTTTCAGCTTCGAAAACTCTGTTCAGGGTCACTATGGGTCGGAACCGACTCAAGGGCACTTAACAACAACAACAACTTCAGGACTCTACATTTCCTTGATAATAAATTTCTCTTTACATATATTTCTATATACATATATATGTTTCACTAGTCTTTCTTCTCTAGAAAACCCAACTTAAGCCAGGAGTATAAAAAAATAAAATAATTTTCAATAAGCAGCTCACAATCTGGAGAGAGTCACTGCTAACAGGATAATATATTTTCCATTTTTTTCCTTCTAAAAATTTTTACCTAATTGAGTGTAATTACTGGTAATTACTTTTTATTATTTGACATTATATATTGACTATTTTATTAGGTCATTAAAATTCCAATTAATTTTACAATAGCCCAATATTTGAATTGATTGCAGTTTTTATGGTGTGGTGCTGTGGGCTAATGCGTCAGACTGCAAAGTTGTTTGAACTGCAAGGATGGTGGTTCAAGCTCACCAGCTGCTCCTTGGAAACCATATACAGGGTCACTATGGGTTGGAATCAATGGCACTTAACAATGATAACATAATACTGCAGTGAAAAGCATTATGCATAAACTGTTATCTATATTTCTGATTATTTTCCACAAATAGATTCTAAGGCAGGGGGTATTTCTAGCTCAGAGGACAAAAATGTTTAAAGCTCTTGGTATTTTATCAACATTTTTGTTGTTATTAGTGTTAAGTGCCATCGCATTGGTTCTGACTTCCGGCAACCCTGTATAGAGTTTCTGAGGCTGTAAATTTTAGGAGCAGCAGAAAGCCTCATCTTTCTCCCATGGAGCAGCTGATAGACTCGAACCACTGATCTCATGGTTTGCAAACGAGCACTTAACCTACAGAGCCACTGTGCTCCCAAAATTCATGATTGAGTGTAGAGTAGAAAAAGTATTCAAATCCCACAATATATACAACCCATTAAAACTAGTAGGATAAAAGCCAGCAATTATGGTTGGTCAGTAAATGAACTCTAAATAAAAGCAAAGGAGACCTGGTAGTGTAGTGTGTTACACTTGGGCTGTTAACTGAAAGGTCAGTAGTTCAAATCTACCAGTCGCTCTGCAGGATAAAGATGAGGCTTTCTGCTTGCACAAAGATTTACAGCTTTGGAAGCCCGATACAGGGTCACTATGAGTTGGAACCAACTGAACCGTACACCACCAAAAAAAAAAAAAAAAAACAGGCCATGAAATTTTTGCATCTTTGCAAGGTCCATATAATCATGACTCTGCTTATTTCCACTGAGTCATTTCCGACAGAAATGAACTGAGTAGAACTGTCCCATAGGGCTCCCAAGGTGGTAACTTTTACGGAAGCAAACTGCAAAATCTTTTTTCCATAGAGTGAAAGGTGAGTTCAAACTGCTAACCTTTCAGTTAATACCTGAGTGCTTAACAAATGCACCACCAGAGTGCTTTAATGGTAGGTCAGAAGACCCTATTCCTAACTACTTTGTGATATGGTACAAGGCAATGATTATGGTAGAGACTTCTATGCCAGGGACAGCATAGTCTGTTGTTGTTAAGTACTGTCAAGTCGATTCTGACCGATAGCGACCCTGTATAGGGTTTCCGAGGAGCAGCTGATGACCTTGAGCCACTGAACTTGCAGTTCAAACAGCATCACAGTCTGGCACATTAACCTACAGAGCCACATCAAGACTCAGCATAGTCTAGCACTGATCAAATAGGGCAATGGTGGCTGAAGGCAAGCAGTCACTAGGAATTCCAGGCAAAGCAATGGATCAAATCAGAGCAGCAGATTTGAATGCCTCTCCCACCTACATGTGGGTGTGTCCATTCACCAGGGGCTGGGGAACACCTGTGATCATTCTGGCATTCCAATGCTTTTATTTGCTGTATGATCTTGGATGAGTTACTTGGCCTATAAAAGCTGGTTGTACAGTGTGAGTGGGACAATAGAAATAGCTTAGCACACAGTCTCATATGTACAATCAAATAAGCATTTAGTGAATGTTAGCTATTGGTGTTATTTTACCTGGCAAAGTTACGGTTTTAAAAAAGGTACACTAGGAGAGTTACAAATGGTTGCTAGGAAAATCTACCTAGAGAATGAATGTCTTCTGACCTTTAGGATTCTCTCTAGCCTACTATTTCAGTTTCTCACTAAAACCAAAAAAGAAGCATTTCTCTCTCTGTTTCTCTCAGCCTAGACATTTCCTACCGTATATCTAGGAAATTGATGGTCTCACTTGAGAATGAGTAGTAAGTGAAGGAGTCATGTAACTGTGACAGGAAACATAAAGCTTTTTGGCTCCAGTCACAGTCGTTCTGAGTGTGAGCAAGGATAAGATGGAGGATTCTGGAGAACTCTGTTAGTTAGGTACCAGAAAACTTTAAAACAAACAAAACTCTAAATAATTCAAAACTTTAAGACACAGTCAAGTTCATGGTCTGGCAAGAAAGGAAAACCTTAATTAAAGTGTGTTGAGTGAATGACCATACCCGAGAACTCCTGAATCCAACGCCCTGCTAAGAGAAGCTAGAAGCAACTTACACCTCTGTTCTCACTGACCTCATTCTAGGGTAAGCTTCTCTGGGTAGAAGTGTGGATATGACAGGGCTTTTGCAACGCTCCTCCCAGGAACCTCAACCACCACAGTGTGTCCCCCTGAGTTCCTTCTACCACCCTGCTCTGGGATTCTTCATTGAGGTTGAATATGATTCCGAGAACAAGAGATGGGATTTTGTTTTTCCATTCTCTTCTTGGAACTGTGGCCCAGAAGGATTCCAGCAAGGGCGGAGTACCAGCTCTGCCATCAAATGACTGTGACCCAAATTGAATCCTTTCTCCTCTCAGGAACTTGTTTCTTGGTATATATAGTGAGGAACTGATCAATTTTAGATTTCCAAGTTCCCAAGATTTTCAAAAGTGAAGCGGCTTTCTCATACCTTGTTTCACCAAGATGAAGACTCTCATAGCTTTGCCTTCTGCACTTCCCACAGTGCAATTATATGGAAAATTTAGATTATTTTCATTAATATTCTCTATGCGTAATATCCTTGAAGCAAGGAATTGACCTTCTGGGGTCCTACAAGATAGGAAAATAAGTCAGCAGTTGCTTTGTTCATTAGCAGCAGAATTACCCATCAGAGATGACTCCATATGTTTAATTAAATGCACAAATGCCATCTGGGTGGTGCAAGCAGTTTATGACCAACTGCTAAACTCAAGGAGCTCTAGTGGTGTAGTAGGTTATGTGTTGGGCCACGAAGCTCAAGGCCAGCATTTCGACCCCATCAGTCACTCCAAGGACTCTATAAAGGGTGGCTATGAATCAGAATCAATTCAATGGTACATAACCACCACCACTATTGCTAACCTCAAGATTGGCAATTTGAATCCATGGTTACGAATTGGGCTGTGAACCTTAAGGTTAGCAGTTCGAAACTACCAGATGTTCCGTGGGATAATGAGGCCTTCTGCTCCCATAAAGATTTACAGCTTCGGAAACCCTGTGCAGGGTCACTATGAGTTGGAACCAACTCCATGGTACTTAACAACAACAACAACAGCAGCACTTAGCACAAAGAAAGACCTGTGGGTCCACTTCTCTAGAGAGTATAACTACGAAAAGCCAGTGGCACTCAGTTGTGCTCTGTAACATGTGGAGTTGCCACGAACTGGGATCAACTCAATGGCAAGGGGAAAAGACCCCAAAACTCAAAAGCAGCTACTACGTTTAGTACATCCGGTCTTGCCTTTCTGGTTGGTTGGTTGGTTGGTTGTTGTTAAGTGACACAAAAGTGTCACTTTCTGGTAGCTAAGTTTAAAATGTGAGTTTCAGAGAGTCTCTTCCCTCTCTGAGGAGCATCTAGGCTCATAACGGCAACCCTTCCTGGGACTGGCTACACACAGTGCTGTCCACTAATCAGAATGAAAATGCCTGGAAGGTAAGGATGGCAACTCAAAAATACAAGAAAATATTCCATTATCACCATTGTTTTCTCCTTATTCCTCTCCATCCTGACTATTCAGAGTTCCTCCCACTGTGAGTCTACACCAATTGTGAGAAGACTAAATTGTGTAGCTTACTGCATACAGATGCATATCACATTTGCTCTCAAAATATGAGATTGTTTTGTGAAAGCATTAAAAAAAGATAACTATTCTCAGAAAGTCACCACAAGCATGTGAGAATTACTACTTAAGACGTTGAGTGATGGTCAGAAAATGGCCCATACAACCTCTAGCAGCAAGCACTCTTCATCTTTCTCAAAGGACTTTAGGTTGTCTCAACATTGATATGAAACATTAACTCCCCTCTGTTAATGACAGGCTCTGAAAGATCTGCATTGGTTAGCACTGTTAGTAGATGTGCTCAGGCAGCCCCTCTACAACCTCCAACTCTCTCAAGCATATTTTAGAATGCAATTTCTTTGAAACTTTTCTTGTGGATTGAGTGAAGGTTTACAGAGTAGATCATCAGTTTTACATTCAACAAATCATACACATAGTTTCAGCTCAATGATTGCAATTTCCTCCCTTTAACAACAGTTATCCCACTGTCTTTCTGTGGTTTTAGGTTCCATTCCACTGTCTTTCCCAAAGGCTCTGAACTTTGTCCTTAAGTAAATGTTGTACTTTTGATCTTCAATGGTTGATTATTTCATGGTGACCATACCTACTAATAGTATTGTCTCCTCCTGGTGTGGTGCTGTGGGATAAAGCACTGGACCATGAGGTCAGTTTGAATTATAAGTTCAAACTCATCAGCTGCTCCTTGGAAACCCTATACAGGGTTGCTATCAGTCAGAACTAACTCAATGGCACTTAACAACAACAACATGTATGCCTATCTGCTGGTTGGCTTAAAACTGGGCCACAAAGATGAGTTCCTTTCCAGATCTGAAGGGTGGTCAAAGACCGTATTCTTAGGTTCCTCCCATCTCTTTCCAATCAGGAAGCCCAATTATGTATATATAAGTTTGAGTTTTGTTCCACATTTTCCCCTACTCTATCAAGGATTTTCTAATGTGATCTGTTTCAAATCAGTTGGTAATGGTACCCAGGCACCACTTAGTTCTGCTGTTCTCAGAGTTATGGTGACATATGTTCATGTTTCATTGGCCCACTGGACTAGATGGAAGCACCTTCAAATCTTAATCACTCTTCTTTCTTCCACACATGGAGAGACCAATAGTTGCATCTTAGATGGCTGCTCATAAGTTTTTAAGATCCCAGTCACTACTCACCAAAGTAGGATGTAGAGTATTGTATTTGTGGAGTATGTTATGCTAATTGACCATGGTGTCCCCTGAGACTATGGTCCCAATCTCCCAAGCCCAGCAATTCATTGTTTTAAGATGTTTGATAATATCAAAGAAGTTTTCATCATTTTGCCCGCTACATTCTCCACCACCTTGTGTGGTGCTATAGAATAAGTACTGGACAGCTAATTGCAAGGTTGATGGTTCAAACCCACCAGGCGCTTCTCAGAAAACCAATACAGGATCACTATGAGTTGGAACTGACTCAACAGCACATAACAATGTTCCACCACATTCAGAGGTGTGTTCACAGCATAGGAACTACCCATGTACAAATACCTTTTGTCAAATCCTTACATATTTGTAAGTGTACTCCCAGTCTCCCTTCCATCCCATTCAGCCTGTGTACCTGTTTAAATACTGTCTAAATGTGGCGATGTGGATTAATGCGCCAGACTGCAAAGCCATTTGAACTGCAAGGTCAGTGGTTTGAACTCACCAGCTGCTTCTCGGAAACCCTGTACAGGGTCACTATGAGTTGGAATCGACTTGCTAGCAGTATAACAGTATTACCTCTATGCCGTTAATCCTTACATTCTCCCTGTGTCTTCACCTGTCTTCATCATTCTCCTGCCATCCTCCCTCTTCTTGTATATTGCTTTTCCCATCACTCAAGTTAACAGAATACATTTCTTTTAATTATTAAAAAAAAGATGGAGACATCTAAAAGGCTCATCAGCAGATGAAGGACAAACTATGGGACTTGGGTAAGTAAAAAAAGTATTGGTACAAAAGCACAGAAATCTTTACTAAACAAAAATATCAAAATAGGAAGCTCTTGTTTCTCTGCATACCCTCCATCCACATCTATATACTTCTGGAGGCAATGTTTCCATCTCTCTAAACTCTCCCCCAAAGAATTCTATGCTCTTCAATTTATAACATGTCAAAATGGTAGTTTAGGTACCCTCAAGGGACTCAAATTGTGTTCTTTTCCAATCATCTTTGGGTTTTGGAAACAAAAAGAAGTATGAAGGAACACAATCAAGGCTATAGAGTAGATGTGGTAAGGTTTCCCAACAAAATTCTCATATGGCAGTCCTTACTACCCTCAGAAAATGAGCAAGTACATTATCAGGATGGAAAATAATTCTTTGGTGCAACTTTCTTGGCCTTTTTCTCACCAATGTAGTTTTCAATTTTCTTAAAACTTCTTCTTAATTGTTGTTTTGTTGTTAAGTGCTGTCAAGTCGGTTATGACTCATAGCAACTCTAATAGGGCTTTCAAGGAGCAGCTGGTGGGTTTGAACTGCTGACCTGTGATTCACAAACCAGTACTGATCCTATAGCACCACACTAGGAGTTGCCCCCATAATTTTCCTGTGTCCTTCAAGAAAACTATCATAATTACTCCTTAGGAATCACAAAAAAAGTGTGCATAACCTTCTGAGCTTACTGTTCTGCCTAGAATTTAATGGACCTAGCAGATCCCCTTGGAAGTCACTCTTTTGATTATATATATATAATTTAAACACATTTTTGTTTGGAATAAACTCATGCATGTATGAACTAGAACCCTAGTAACAATACTTTTTTGACTGATCCTTGTATAAATACACAAGAGAATTCTTTAACACAATGTTTAAGAATAAAGAAGAACTTGAAAAACACCTTACAGCATGGCTAAACCTAGGGGACATTATGCTAAATGAAATAAATCAGCCACAAAAGGTCAAATATCACATGAGACCACTATTACAGAAAGTCAAGAAAAAGTTTACACACAGAAACAAATGCTGTTTGATAGTTAGTCTTGGTGTGGCCTTGTAGGATAAGCAATGGACTACTAACCACAAGGTTGGCAGTTCAAACCCTACACAGGATTGACATGAGTCATAACCAACTCAATAGTACTTAACAACAGCAACAGGACTGAGAGGGAAAGGAGAGTAAAGTACTAACTAGAGAGTTGTTGTTGTTATAAAGTGCCATTGAGTCAGCTCTGACCCATAGCAACCCTGTGTAGGGTTTCCAAGGAGCAGCTGGTGAGCTTGAACCACTGAACTTGCAGTCCAAACAACTTTGCAGTCTGACGCATTAGCCCACAGTGCCACACCAGGACTCCACATATATTAACATGGGTGAAGAAAAAGACAATATATAATAAGAGGGAGGGCAACACAACATGACCAAGGGAAAGGAAGACATTGGGAGCTACACAAGAGTAAAAGACAACAAAGGTAAATACTGTTATAGACACAATCCTACAGTAATAGTAATAACCAAAAAAATTCATAAGTAATTATGAATAAGACATGCAAGCAGATCAGATATGGGATAATGAATGAGAGTACAACCATGAGTATATATAGGGTTGGAAAAGGATATTACTATATAGATCTTTGTACAAGTTGTAAATACATCCAAGTATTATATAAATATATATTTATATACAGTAGAGCATACAGGGTATAAAGTTATGAAAACTTCTTAAACATAACCAAACACCTTGAGGGACTGAGTTGCTGGGTTTGTGGTGGGGGAAACTAGGTCAACTGGCATAACATAGCCCACAAAGACAAAATTCTATATCCTACTTTGGTAAGGAGCAACTGGAGTCTTAAAAGCTTATAAGCAGTCAACTAAAATGCAACTTTTATTATTATTTTTTTAATCTGTCCTTATCTGGAACAAAGAAGAGTGAAGAAAATCAGACTCACAGAAAAAATTAGTCTAAAGGACTAATGAGTCACAGGAACTCTAGCATCCACTACCCTGAGGCAAGAAGATCTAGATGGTTCCTGGTTACCATGGCCTACCA